AGAGAAAAGAAGGAAGTTAGGAACATTTTTGTTGTTGCTGTTTTTAGTAGACTTTAAAACCTGCAACTTAAGACAGACCAGGCTACACTACATCATATGTAATATGGCAACTTTTAAAGATAAAATGATGTATGGAAAAAGAATTCTATTAAATATTCAGGAACTTAACTATTTAACACAATGAGTAGATAGTTTAAATGAGGGAGAGAAGCAAACACAGGGTTGATGAAAATAAAGTTTAGGCTGCAAAGACACTCAGGAACTAACATATCAACAAATGCTTAATTAAGTATATTGGGTTGTTTTAAAAAATAAAACATCCCAAATTCATATTAGAAATCTTTGGGAAAATACGATTCACTACACAGAACACGGTGATTGTCAGTCCCTCCAAACTGAAACATTTATGTTATGTCGGTGATACAGCTCTATTTTCTGCAATAGAAGCCCTATTTGTGATCAGTTGGTTACATGAAAAGACTGATTGAAGAATAACGTCATGAAGATGAATTATATGCACCTCACAGTTATTAATTAAACTTAAAACATATGACATATTCATTCATCTGCCTGTCTTCTGATATAAAGCTAAGGGCTTGTCTGTTTTTCTGAGTGTGGGTTCACTTAGAATTCCATCCTCTTATATTGTACTCACTTAAATAGTATAGTCTGTCTTCCAGCTTTTATGTCTTTAAAATGCAGTCAAAGTTTAAAGTCACTTGCAAAGCGCTAAATATAGACCCTTTTAGATGTTTATAATGTCTATTTTTAGTATTTGACAGTTGTTTTGAAATTTTATTCAACAGTAGGTTTCTAGTGATTTGCCTTCATTTAGTTTTTTACAGCACTCAGCTTACTTTTTATAGAAATTCTCTTTCTTTCTGTACTCATAATTTATTGGTTTGTGTTATGATTAGTAACTTCTATTATAAATTACAACAAGCACAGCTAACACACACACAGGAGTGATTTTCTCAGCTGCCTCCCATGTCCCCAGAGCCTAAGATAATGCCTAGGCATTCAATAAGTGCAGGGTGGGGCAGAGAGTTTAGGTTTACAGTTCATATGGAAAATAATACACTAAATAAAAATAATAATACAAGAATAAACTGTTTTCCATACTCACTACTGTAAACTGACTTTTGCCCCACCCTGTATTTGTGAAATGACAAATGTATGGTACGTAACTCATTCTTCCTACGTATATAGCAGAACAGGCAGAAGCGGAAGTGCCCAGGGTGGGCTAGAGGGGAAACTGACAGCCTGTAGCATTCTCTTGCTGTGGGCCTCCGCCAGTTACGTTTTCCTAAAAAACAAAAAAAAGGAGAATCAATTGTTACAGCAAGTTTGTTACATGATGGTTGGTTAAAAGTGCTTTAATTGTGCTTTGATGAAATATCAAACTTCGTAAAAAATCTTCCTTATGGTCTGACTGCATAAACGTAGCTTTCCATCTCACTTTCCTCTAGGAATAACCTAGCTTCCTCCCTGCTAACCTGTAACTAATTTAACTCACCATTGTCCAGAGAAGGTTTGTGAAACATCTGAAGCTGTCTGTGGGGGCCAAGCTCCTGAAGGCAGATTAGTAACATGTTCCCTCTTCAGTGTTGCTTAGGACATTTGGAATCAATTAAATATTCAAATATTGGTTCTCTCAGATCTCTAGCCAGGCCCCGCAAGTTTGTGAGGGGAGGGAGTTCAAGGCAGATAACTGCTACCCCACACACCAAAATCTATAGCTGGAGATTTAAAAAATACACTCTAGAACTGTGGGGTCTGCAAGCAAATAAATGAGATTAGAAATGCTAAGGGGAATAGCAGGAGCCTTTTCGAGAAATAGGAGTTACAGTCTACACGAGAACGGCTGCCATGCACTGTGTCTTCAAGGCAAATAAGAAAGTACCTCAGCATGGCCCACGTGAGCTAACAATGGTTTTTACATTTGCTAAGGATCATTAAAAAAATATGTAACACAAACTGTATATGGCCTAATAACTTCAAATATTTACACTCTGGCGTTTCTAAAATTTGCTGACTCTTGGTTTACTTTAGTTTCCATCATATGTACTAATATAAATATTAATATTAATAAGTACTATTACTATTAATAGTAACGATGGATGAGGTGCATTGGAGAAGGAGGAACTGATGAGGGCCCACATATGCCAGACTATTTGCTAAATGCTTTACAATTCAGGGGTGTCCAAACTTTTGGCGTCTCTGGGCCACATCGGAAGAAGAGTTGTCTTGGGCCACACATTAAATACACAAACACTAATGGAAACCAAAAAAAAAAAAATCTCATGTTTTAAGTAAATTTATGATTTTGTGTTGGGCCGCATTCATTCTAGGCCACATGCGGCCTGTGGGCTGCAGGTTGGACATCGCTTTACATACTCTGCCAATTCAGTCACTGAGCAATGTTCTGAAGGGGGCATTCATGGTAATAGAGCAGAGAAAACAAGCTCAGAGAAGTAACGTAACTGTCTGACGTCAATGATAGAGCAGAGAAAACAGGCTCAGAGAAGTTAAGTAACTGTCTGACGTCAGGGTACGGGGGAGGATTAAGTCCTGGGGCTGTTAATCAAACCCAAACAACGTGGTGGTGTGTTTAAGCAGTGGAATCGCTTTTCCAATTAAATGCTATTTAACACCTCACTATGTAAAATAGTTGCTCTGGGTAAAGTTGAGGCAGAAGACCTCAGCCCTTTTCAGAACAAACTTTTGGAACAGAAATCAGTATTTCAAAAGATTAAGCCAATAACCGACATGAAAATGGTTTTCCAACTCAATTATCCCATTATCGGGCACATTACACCTTTCTCTATAACTGTATTTTCCTAAGGTCAGAGGAAGTATCAAAGTAACACAATTACCTTTTTCTTATTTCTGTGCCCAGTGAAACGATGAGAAATCAGTCAGCAGAAGGGAGAAAGAAGAGAACGGCTAAAGTTTAAATAATCTCCAAAATCTAAGTAGTCATACTATAGCTATTAGTCCTCAATTCCATCAAACACCGGGTGGGAAGGACATCTTCCAAATGGCAGCTCATTTTACCCTAATAGTTGGTGTTTCCAGATGAGTTTCTAGTTTTCCATCATGATAAATTAATATATCCTATTTTATTACGGTGCCACAAACAAGAACTCTGAAAGGCTCAGCTCTTACAAAAGGCCCAAATCCCCTGAAAAGCATCAGGTATCAAAATGCAGCCAGAAAAGATGGTATTAAAAGAAAAAAAAAGGGGGGGCTCCTTTTTAATGAAGTCGAGGTGTAGGACAGATTTATTAGCTTCCATTTTTCCAAGTTGCGTTCTGGTGTATTTCCTGCCCATATTTCTGAGTTCAGCAGATCTCTTTGTAGGATTATTTTTTAAAAATACGTTTCAAAGAACATGAGGTGGCTATACACACTACACCTGCAAAGACACACCTGTGATGATACAAAGTGTTCCTCATATTCTCAACCCAAACTCTAACAGAAAACAGACCTTCTGTATGATCTGCCAAGCCCCCGCCATTCTCAAGAGCTGATACTGGTAACCAGATATTATAAAAAGTCTTGAAAATAATAACCAACGATTACCCCTGACCAAAGCGGTCATTAAATTAAGTGTAGTTCAGTGTATTCTTTATTGTTGTAATTCCCTTTTCCAGTATTGAGAGATGGTTAAGACAAATCATTAAAATAATTATTTTTGATGCTGTAATAGATGCCTACTACATTCCTATGTAGACTTTACTTTTATGTACACCATTGAGTCCTTATTGTTCTCTCAAACATCATTATCAAATGTTTACTGTGTATTACAGGTATTTCCAGGTATTATACTTGATTCTTGAGGAAGGAAACTAATAAGAATATAATAAAATCTTCCCTTGGAAAATTCCTATTCCAATTGTCCAGCTGGATATGTGAACAAATAATTAGTGCACTAAACTCTAGTAAAGCTGCCAAGATCAATGAAAACAAAGTAGAAAGAGAATTGGTTCAGCCCAGAGGGACCCGAGACAGCAACACAACTGAAGGTAATGCTGAAGAGTAGGTAGTGTCCCCAGTGAAAAGGAGGAGGGTATTTCAGATTGAAAGGACAATACAGGGTCCGGCAGAAGTAAGGTCTGCTTGAGTGTGGTTGGTAGGGTAATAATATATAGTTTTAAATTGAACATTTCATCTAAAATGCCGCATGGTACACTTGAGTGTGCTATTGTTATGTGACAGAATTACATGCTTATGATTTTGCAATAAAAAAGGGGCATTATTTGTGCCAGACCCTGTTTAAGGACAGGCCAAGATGTGAGTGTTTGATTGGCCTACAGTGAGGACTGGATTATGCAATGGAATAACTAGAGATGTCCAAGACATTGATTAGTCACTAGGCACTATTTAAGTTTATTTAACTTAACTTATTTAAGTGCCTATTTAAGTTTAAATTAAGATTAGAAATTCAGTTCTCAGGCATATTTCAAGTACTCAGTAACCACACATGTCGAGTCCACCATGTTGGATGGTGCAGAGAATTATTTCCATCACTGTTAAGTTCTATTGGATAGCAGAGTGCAGCTCATGGAGAATCTAAAATGTATATGGAAGAGTTTAAACTTTAAGTAGAAAAGGTTTATAAACTACTGTATTCTACAGAGTCCCCTCGGGAGTGACCTGGGGGGCTCCCCCTTGGCTGCATTGCTGACCTTTTTTTATGAATCCAGCTTCTGCATCTAAGATTTATTTTTTTGCAAAGAATTCCGCAGCTAAAAAAAAAAAAAAAAAAAAGACTTGAAACTCACTGTTACAGGTAATTGGGAACCGCCATAGGTTTTTAAGCAGGTGAATGACACTGTGACACAGATTTGTGTTTTAGTAACATTACCTCTCAAAGCAGCAAGCAAGATATGTGAGAAGGAAAGATACTTGGAATACCAACTTCAGTGCATGCCAGCGAGATGATAAAGGACTAATCTCAGAGAAGCTCCTAAAGAAACAGACAATTAAGAACTGGCATCAGAAAATTTATTCCAAGTAAGAATTACACACACATAGCAGGTCCATTATTTCCACATAAAACTCAGCATTGCAACAAAAATATGTAACACTTTGGCCATGAAACACAAAGATAAAAAACTCCTTAAGGTATCTCCTTTAAGTAAGTGAGTTCTTTCAGTATTTGTAATCCATGCTTGTTTAATTATAATTTTTAAAATATATTATAATTATATTGTTCATTATGTTTATTGTATTTTTATACATCTTTTTTGAAATTTGTTCTCCAAAATAGGACTTCTCATAACCTCAAAATATCATGTGTACCTCTTAGCAGTACTACTGTAAAACCAAAATTATGTTTTCAAGTATCAAGTGGTCAAGCCACACCATTCCTAATCAGAGTTTTAAGTGACATACATTTTTTTAAATGGCTCTCTTATCCTTCTTGTTCCTACTTTAATATGCCAACCATTACTTCACTGATATCCCAGAGTTTTCTTGCAACAGTCTCATCCATGGCTTTAGGCAATAGTTCTTCCTCTTTACAATCCCCGAAGTACTTTCCTGACACACCTTCTACCTCAGGTGAAGAGGCTAAATATATCGAAGTCTGGGCACCTTCTACTGGAGTTTTGAAAAAAGCCCAAGACAACAAATTGAAAAGTGGTTTGACCAACAGTGGAATGTGTATGTGCCTCCCGAGATTAGTCCGCACGATGCCAGGGTGTAAAGCATTGACAGTAACGTTTGTGCCTTCTAAGCGGCGGGCTAGTTCCCTGGTAAACAGGATGTTAGCCAGCTTGCTCCGACTATAACAAAAGCTTTTATTGTAGCTTTGTTCACTGTTCAAGTCTTCAAAGTTGATGTCTCCATATTTATAAAGTTTGGAAGAAACTACCACGATTCTGCTGGGTGCTGAGCTTTTGAGTAGTCCAAGGAGAAGATTCGTGAGTAGAAAGTGACCCAGGTGGTTCACTCCAAACTGCATCTCAAACCCGTCTTCGGTCTTCATATAAGGGCACTGGAAGATCCCTGCATTATTGATCAAGACGTCCAGTCTAGGCTCTTCCTTTAAATGTCAAAAAGAGAACAGCAGAATTATGAACATGGGCCTTAAATGTACCTAAAATGAAAATCCTTTAAAATTCTTACAAACTACTCAAATTCTATAAAAGGTGTCCATCAGTTTTCAATAATTGACAAAGACTAAAAAAGACTTGCATACTGAATAGGGGCCTGGCCTTGTGCTTTTCACATGTCTCCTCATCTACTGTCAGCAACCTATAAGCAAACAGAAGCGCTCAAGTTCGGCGATTTGTCTAGTATCACAGGGTTCCAAAGTGCCCGGGCTCTTAATTAGTAAGCCAGCTTGTTTTTCTAACTGGGATTTTCAAACAACAGCTAGAGAATCCATGTGAGCTAGAGAGTGCATATAAATACAGCAGAAGACAGATTAGCACTCTGTTCCCAGAGCTACTAGTTCCAACACCAGGGACAAGAGAGGATTGCTTTACTTTGCAGTTTTCTAAGGGTGAGTGGTACTGTGGGGATGGAGCAACTTCACGTTGTTTCCCTTAAAATTGGGACAAGCAATAGAGTGGGGCGGGGATGCAGAGCATCATGAATAAATCAAAGGAATACTTTTAAAAATTGTGCAGATAATATGAAAATGTCAGAAACAATGTTATCAGTCTAAATACGAAGGCTCACAATAACAGCAAAGGAGATTAACAGGAGATTGCACCAAAAAATATCTTAAACTCTACTATGACTAGAAGTCACAGTTCTTCCCTGTGTGAAATCTACCTCTTTCAGGCTTCAAGGGGCCCCCAACTTTGGAGATCTACACAATCAGAACTTTGCACTTGGACCAGATCCTGCTATATCTTTCCAGATTAAAATCCTAAAATTTACACTGTCCTTAAAGGGAAGTCTTTTCACCCCGCAATTCATATAATTTGGTTTTCTCCAGCCCTTTCCTGGCTCCTCTCTGTCTCTTTTGATGGGCAGAGAAAAATAAATGTACAACATGTTCCAGGTGTAAAGACAGAGTGATGAATCCATGATTAAATTAATTTGAGGTCAAATTTCAAATTTCACTGGCCCTTTTGCCAAGTGTAAGTGAAAAGAAAAATGTGTTGAATTTCACAACTGTATCAAAGCCTACCCGTCAAAGGATTAACTATTTCTCATTCTGTCTGTCTAAGCACCTTTAGCTTTTCCAATAGCTTCAAAAAGAAGGCAAAAGTTCACCCGTGGGGGAAAGAAAGGAGTGTTCTTTTTCAGTAATCCTTTGGAAGAGTTTCCTGTATTAATCATTTCTGAGCCATCATTCTTTGCTGGGCTTGTGTTATTTTAAGACTTTATCATCTACTATTTTTTTAAATTCTAGGAGATAAATGACATAAATACCAAGAATACCAACCTGTGGGAAATTTACATTTCCATTTTGTTTTTAAAAAATTCTGGTTATGGTCACTGAACTTGAGATCCATGAAGGAACTTAATACTTAGAAGCAAGGACAACTCAGTTATCTCTTTATCTCCTAATTTTAATTGGTTTTGTCCTAAGTGGTCAAAGTAGTAAAATACTACATGTATCCAGAATGAGAAGTATATACAGCCACATCTACATTTTAATGAAAAATAGGAAGACCTGCTTTCAATGCTTCCAACATCTAAGTATTATCTCTTATTTTTAACTTGTTCTACCTGATAATGAATTAGACATAAAAACGAACTTCCGCCCCCACCCTGCCCCGCCCTGGCAACAAACAAACAAACAAACAAACAAAACCCAAAAACTCTCTCTAGTTCTGCAGTAGCTCCCAAACTGTGCATCAGGGTGCCCTAGAGAGTCACAAGGAACTCCCAGGGTACTTTGGAATATTTTAAATTTTCAAGGGAAACAAAGGGATACGCTGCTCAACATCGCAAAAACTACTAGTTCCAGGTGGTTCACAGCTTCAACATTATATTATGCTAAATTCTCTTTGATGATGTCACATCTTTGCAAAGTTGCTTTTAGCAGTTGCTGTAATAAAGTGCATGTACAATGTTAAAAATCAATGTAGAACAGAAAAGGAGGGTGGCAATGTCCTATCTGATTCCAAGGTCAGAACTGAACACTAGGTACACGTTTCTTACAGTAACTATGGTTATTGAAGAATAAAATAAACATCTTTTTTTCTTTCTTTATGTGTACTATTTTTTTAAACAGTTACTAACTTGTTATGACATCACTACTTATTAGGTTATTTGAACCTAATTACTTAATATAAATAAACTGGTAGATATTTCTTTTGGCCTGAGGACACCATGAACAAAAAATTAGCAAGTTTAGGAGTCTCTGCTCTGGACTCAAGAGACTGCATTTCGTACAGGCATGTTTCCTGCGCCAGCTAACTGTAAACCTCACTCTCGGAACGCCCGCTGCGGGAAACCCTTCTATTTCAATTTCAACGGAGGAGAGCCACGTCAGTGGCATAGTTACTATCTAAACAAAGAACTCCACCTCACTGGCAGGCAGCAGGAATATAGGAGTTGAAAGCGAGGGCTCTGGAGACAGATCCCGAGCAATCAACGTAGCCTACCTATGCCTTCGTTGCCTTTTGTTGTAAAATGGGGTTACCAATTTCTGCTTTGAGCATTCCCTGACAATAATAGCCAAGGACACCTTCATTTCACTGGGGGTTTGGGGGTGGGGGAAGTAGCTGAAATGCTTGAAACAGCTCCTAGCACAGAGAAAACCTTTAATGAGTGCTAGGTATTATATACTTATTTCTGTCCCTGTTCAGAGCACGTGGCCACTGGGATTCCAAGCTCCAGTTTATTTGGAAACCAGGCCAGAGTGTGGCTAAGGGTGGTGCTAATGAGTCCCCTGGTGGCAGAGAGCTAAACTTCCTATCCCAGCAGGGGGCAAAAAAGGCAGTTCCATGTCCTTGGCTAGCAACTTCCCGTACGTGCTTTGGGCTCTCTGAAAGGAGACGGCCTGGTGCAGATTCTCTTTGGACAAAGGAAAGGCGATCCAGAGACCTGGCTTATCACCTCCTGGGCCGTCCTCACATAACTGAAGGCAATGTTCAGACGACGGCTTATTTTCCTCTTGGGCCTATTTTTTCCTCAACATCCTTGGAAGACAGAAGGCTGCCCTATCAATTTTTCCAGCCTGCAACTCCCAAGACGCCTCCAAATCACGTGATTGCTCCGACTCTTAGCCTCAGTCATTCCCAAGGTCACACCCCCTGCACTCGGGGCCGACCCCTCCGGGCTCGGCCAGCGGCCCGCCGGCCCCGCCCCGCCCCGCGGCCCAGCGCCGGTCTCCAGCTGGCTCCCCGAGCCCACACCTGGAGCATCTCCTGACAGAAGGCGCGCACGGAGCGCAGCGAGGCGAGGTCCAGCTCCCTGACGACGAGCTCTCCGACCCCGCCGGCGTCGGGGCCCCCAGCCAGGCGGAGGTCGCGGCGGAGCGCACCCGCTGCCTCCTCGGCGCGCGCGCGGTCCCGGCAGCCCATGATCACCCGCGCCCCCAGGCGCAGCAGCTCGGCGGCCGTGGCGCGGCCCAGACCGCTGTTGGCGCCGGTGATCAGCACTGTCTTCCCGTGCATGAGGCCGGCGTCCTCGCTTCCGTGCAGCCGCTGAACGTTGGCTCCCACGAACCTTCTGGCTGCGAGCCACAGGGCCCCGCCCAGTGCGGCCAGTAACGCTGCCACCGTAGCCACTGCCATGGCCACCCGGAGGAGGGCCCACCGTCCCCTGCGTGGGACTTCCGGAGTCCCCGCGCCGCCTGGGTTGACGCTGCCACCTGTCCGCCTAGACCTCTGGGGCGCGGCCCGTCGACACTGACAGGACGGCGTGGGGCATGCTGGGACTCGTAGTTTCCCTGCCGAGGGCCTCTGATTGGTTATAAGAGGACCGCGCCGTGAGTCGCGGTGATCCCGTGGAGCCGGCTTCCAGCGAGAGTGGAGGGTGAGCACAAGTTCCAGGTGTCCTGGCGGCTGCGTTTCTTACCCATGGACATGCCAGAGTGGTGGTGCTTTCCGCATGTGAATGTTTATTTCATACTGCCAATTTACAAATCTCTCTGTAGGCTGGTTTACAAATCCTACACTGAAGGGCTGTTTGAGCTGTGTTTTCTATTCAGGGCTCCTGGGACTTGTTCACCCTCCGTTCCATTTATTTTCACCCTCAAGAGAATTGTCCCTGCCCACCAAAGCCTGAGGAAGGGCTCTTTTCTTACCCCTCAAGTGGGGCTAAGAGCTTAGCAACATGAATCAGTTGGAGATGTACTGGACCAGTGGGTGCCAAACTTGAGCGTCACATCAGAGTCACCTGAAAGGCGTTTACAAATAAAATGTTCAGGGCCCCAGTCAGAGCTGCCAATTCAATGGGCCCCAGATGGGACCTGAGAGTTTGCATTTCTAACAAGTTCCCAGGTGATTCTGACTTGGTCCATATAGAAAAAGGCCTCCTCCAATGGGCTCATTTGGCACTGGCAGGAATACAGTAGGAATAACATGTGCTTACTCTAAGCGTAGACTTCTGAGCAGACCACTTCACAAGCACCTCCCACACCCTCCGTAAGACTGTTACCTGTAAAAATGGAAGGGAAAGTACTCTGTTCACTAGAACATGCTTCACACATGTCAGGGGTTATTGCACATGGACCGGTCTCCAAGGTGCAGACTTTGTGACTTTAGACCAAGTTACTTAAGTGGCCATTCATTCATCTTAAGTGGACATTCACCCATCCATTATGTAGCAGCCCCTGTGCCCTAGGAGATCACAGAGAAATAGGGTGCTTACTGTTTGGTGCACAAAGTCCACTGCCCCAGCCCCCTTCCATAATCTTCAGGGCAAAGGACATACAACATGTGTACAGGGTCCGGCAGAAGTTAAGGCCTGCTTGAGTGTGGTTGGTAGGGTAATAGTGTGGATGTAATAATTTGTAGTTTTAATAGGAACATTTCACCTAAAATGTCACATGGTGTGCTTGAGAGTGATACTATGTAACACATTACGTGTTTATGATTTTGTAATGAAAGATTTTATAATAAAAATGTGGCATTATTTGTGCCAGACCCTGTCATTTGAAATCCTGTAAGAGTTTGAGAGACTCTCCTCCACTCCTTTACATTTGTGAAGGCTCTAATATGCCACGGTACTCACAGTGCAGAGAGAGAAGGGAAAGGATGCCGGAAGACGGTTCCTTAGGGGTGCTGAGAATGAGGCGCAGAGGTCGGGGGGAGCACTGTTACTGGGGATTAGACAAGGCCCCAGGAATAGAAATCACGAGGGGCCATGGGCCTTTGTTTCTCCTCCTATAATTTGAAGCTCCCTGGCAAACTCCACGAGCCTGGAAAACATCTGTTTCCTCTCTCTCTTCAGTTTTATCCATTCTCCGTCCTTCAAAGCCCACCTCAGTACTTTTCATTTCCTGACCACTTTTGGCCCATGTAGATATCTGCTTCAACCTCATGTGTGACCCTCACTTGGCACTGAGAACAAACAGCCCTCTAGTGTTGGCTATCTGAGTTTGCACATTTGACTTCCTCTATGGTATTGTTAAGGTTTTAAATTTCCTCAAGGGTGGGATTTTTCTCTGAGTCTCTCTTGTAGTCTTCACATTGGGGAAGGCATAGAAAACACTAGATACTCATTAAGTGTCATGACTTATATATTTTGGACTGGCTTACATCAAATTAGGAAGCAGATCAAAAGATGTATGTCAGCAGCGGTATCCTTTAACTAGAACCAGGGTGGAAATTGCATATGTGGGTGGGGTAAGATGGAGGTGGGGGGTAGAAGAACCATGAGAGATGAAGCCCCAGACCTGCTATGTAACTGCTGCGTAGCTTAAGTATTGAGTTTAATGGAGTGATTCATTTGTTCAGGATGGGTCCCACGGCCATGAAATCAGTAAGAACAACTCAATTTGGAAGGCTGCATGTGTAACACAGAGAAAAAAAATATATAGCTTTTGAAGTAAATAAGACCTGAATTTGACTCTTAGCCCTACTGTTTATTAGCTGCTATTCTTGGACAAGCTAATCTTTTTTGCATCTTATGTTCTTCATTGATTAAAAAGAGGGGTATCAGTATTATATCACATACGTTTGGATTGATAAGAAAATGAGGTAGCATGAAAATATCCTGCCCACCGTGCTTTATCGTGTAGTGGATTATGTTTAATAACCAATCAGTGTTTTTAAAGACAAAACAAAAATCACAAAAGAATGATAACAATGAAAGGCCAGGATACTACATTTCATGCCACATTTTGAAGCTGGGGCTAAGGCTTATTTTGCCTTATAAACATTGGGCCTATCTGCCAGGCCCAAAGCTAGATACTTCAAAAATACTGCTCACAGGCAATGAACTCACCAAATAAGCTTCAGATAACCCTTCCTAGGGTGTTCTGTCTGCAGCATACCTTACATGGACAGGGCCCTGTCCTGCTGATTTAATGAATCATGAATATCCAGCTGATTTATTTTTGAATGACTAGTGTCAGATTGGTAGACAAAATGCAGGTGGACATTTTCATTTTGCATGGATTTAAAGGCTGGTTGTGGAGGTAACAGACTTAAAAGCTCTAACTTTCAAGAGTGAACTTAACCCTACACTTTCTACCTTTGAAGACCACTATTCTGTCATGAGGATTTGTAACAATCCTATTTACCAACATCCAAAAATGAGACCTGGTAGGCTTCTGACACAGCCCTGTAAGCATTCAAGCATGCACGTTCTAAGCCTAGCCTAACAAGTCACCGTTGTGACTCCCACACAAAGGTAAGTGCAATGTGGTCAACAGCGTGGACATCTCAAAAACAAGCAGCTTGAAGATAACTTGAAGGTTCAAAATATTTTCAAAAACATTCAAAGAAAACCTTTCCAAAGGAACTAAGTTCTGAGGTCCAATCTTCTGAAACACCTAATCACCCTGGAGATCCACAAGAAGTGGCTTCTGTAATACCAGACTCACTGCTTTATTGCTCCTCCCCATCTCTAATTGTTCAATTTCTGATTCATGCCATAAGGTACATGAGCTGTGACGGTGCCAAATTTCTGTGCCCCTTCAATGTGGAACATGTGGTCATCAAAGAAGATGTGGGGCCGTATTTTCACCAAGATGGGACCTTTGGGGGCTCCAGCAAGGAAAAGGGCTTCATCTATCTCTAGACCCCACCGGCGAAGGGTTTTCAGCACTCGAGCGCCTGAACTCGCTGCACTCCTGGCTGTAACCAGGTAGGTCCTGATAGGGCAACATAACCGTTGGTCTTTGGCGTAAAACTTCTTTTGCAGTCTGCCCAAATCTTCCAGAAGGGCTTTCAAGGGACCCTGTAAAAGGAACATATGTTATAGCTGTGATCCAGTGAACTGAATGAAGTGAATGCTGAAAAAGCAGAGGCTTATAAAAGCTTACGAAACGATACAGTACTGTGTGTAGTATTATAAAATTGGTGGCACAATGCTGAAACTCCTTGCATTTATGTGACTAGGTTTCCTTATGTGGAACCATCCTTGCATTCCTGGAGTAAATGTAGGATGATATCACTTACTGTCTAAACACAAATATTTTTAAGAGTAAAGGAAATTTCTATTACAAAGTTAAATCAAGGCAACAATCATAAACTATTGATGGCAAAGTGGGACATAGTTCAGTTTATTATGAAAAGTACTATTTTAATTTTCTTTTTGTGAATTTCACATTTTAACCTTATAAAGTATACTCTTTTATGTTGTTTCATGCCTTGTTGGCTTGAATCCAGCCTTGTCATATTTACAAATACTTTGTATATCATCATACTAATTTTTATCTTCAATCTTTCTAAACAGTTTTAGATGTAGACCTATTATACAAAACACGGAATTGGATTTTGCCATGTTTTAAAACAAAATTTGAGTTTTAGGACAGTTATGTTTATTGGTATTACAAATATACATGGTAATGGTTCTGCCTTATGATTTTTACAGTATTTTTCATGTTTAAAATTGTAAATTATTGTTCACTAACAAGTGTCTTTTTTTGTGTGCATGTTTGTGTGTTTCTTCTAAGATTGAGTAAGGTTTATATTATTTCATTCTCTTGGCTCCCTTTATAACTATAACTTCATATAATACCCTTAGTACTCTTTTTTTAAATCCAGGATGTATTATTTTTTACAATGAGAAATAATGAATTTAGTGTACTTCTTTACCTTTCTCTTATCTTCTTTTTCTTCTTGAGCTTTCTAATTTTACTTGTTAAAATTTGCATTACTAAAGATTCTCATATTTCTATTTATCAGTTTTACATTGTATCCTTTGATCGGATTTGTAACTAAAGATACCAGCATACCCATTTTTCCTTAGACTGTTTTGCTCCATGGTTTTCCAGTGTTCTAGTTATATAACTTCTACATAAGGGCATGTAATATGTACTTTGTTTTCTGTTCTCTAATTCCTATGACTGTCGTAGTTTTGGTTCTGTGATTAAATGTATTCCAGGCCTATTTGTGCCTTTGTGTTTCTAATCATCTACATATTAACCAATATGTGTCCTCTGTTGCTCATTTTTGTCAAGAAATATTATGGGATAAAAATCCCAGAGAATAGTGTATGTTTTCAAATGTTGACCTGTTTTATTTTTACTTGAATGAATTTTTGGCTGGATGTAGAATTTGTGATTTATATATTCTTTCCATATGATCTTATATGTTTTTCTTTAAATCTTTTTTTTTAAACTTTATTTTAAATTAGTTTATACTCAATATTATTTTGTATTGGTTTCAGGTGTATAGCATAACGGTTAGACAATCATATACTTTATACAGTTTTTACCCCAATATTTCCAGTGCCCACCTGGCACCATACACAGTTATTACAATATTATTGACTACATTCCCTATGCTGTACTTTACATTCCTGTGACTGTTTTGTGACTACCAATTTGTACTTATAATCCCTTTACCTTTTCACCCAGTCCCCTAACCCCCTTCCCTTCTGGAAACTACCAATCTTTTCCAATTTTGTTTGTTTATTTTGTTCTTTAGATTCCACATGTAAGTGAAATCATATAGTATTTGACTTTATCTGACTGACTTATTTCATTTAGCATAATATCCTACAGGACCATCCATACTATTGCAAATGATAGTTTTATTTTTTTAATGGCCAAATAATATTCCATTACTTTTTATGGCTGAGCAATAGTACCACAGCTTTTTTATCTACTTATCTATTGATGGGCATTGCTTCCACATCTTAGCTATTGTGAGTAACACTGCAAGGAACATAGGGGTGCATATATTCTTTTGAATTAGTGTTTGGGGTTTCTTTAGATAGGTACCCAGAAATGGAATTGCTGGGTCATAAGGCTGTTCCATGTTTTTACTGCTTGAGGAAGCTTCGTACTCTTTTCCACAGTGGCTGCCCCAGTCTGTATTCCCACCCATAGCAGGGCACCACTGTAGTTCACTATTGAGTGCTGCAGTGGGGAAGACCGAGAATAACTTGATTATCCCCCCTCAACTTGTATGGGCAGGTTGTCCAGAGAATTACTTTTACATCTTTGAAGTCAAATAATTTTACTAGGGTATGTCTCATGATCATTCTCTTCTATTTCCCTATTACATATGTGCCCCCCTTTAATCTTTTAATAGTTTAATGTATATATGAAAATCTTAGGGTAATTCAGGATCTTTTCTTGATTTATATTTTTACATACATATGCATCTTTATATTTACCACATACAACCCTTTTCTCCTCCCCCTAGAACATAATTTCAGTGTTTTTCTTCAAGGATTCCAATTATGCATAATTTTGATTTTCTTTACATGTGATCTAGTTCTATCTTTTTTCTTCCTAAATTATTATTTGTCAATTCTACTCATTTCCACAGTGTTACCATTTAACATTTTATCATCTCTTCCCTAGACTTGCATTTCCTCTTTATGACTCTGCTTTATCAAGTTTTTAAAAGTCATGGTAAATATTTAGTCACAACTTTCACCTACACTTTACCAAGTATTTGCAGAGAGAGTTCTTCACTTGTTTTTAGATTTTTCTCTTCTTTGCCTGCCTTTTTCTTATAGTATCTTTGCCTATGTTTTGTGCTGGTTCTCTTTTTATTACTCATCACTGGAGTCGACTGGCTTACCTAGACGCAATTAGAGGGTTTCAGGGCAAGGCCAAGGATAGCATTTTAAGACTGGCTTGTTTTCACAATCCAAAACCTCCCTTCTTCTCTGTTGTCATGGAAACAAACTGTTTTCTGCAAACATGGCTTACCAATGTGATCACTTATTGAATTTTGCTTTCTCAGAAACTACATATATCAGGAAAAAACAAATGAAAAATTTACTTCCTAAAGGTGAAAAACTGTAACTTTTTTGGGTGGAGGACAACAGCCACAAAACGGGTATAGTGACTATTGGCAGGAGCCACCTGGCTCACAGGTTGGCTTTGAAACCCAGAGGAGCGCAGCTGTCCTTTCTGATTTTGAGCACCTTCCAAAGGGAATACATTGAGACTGGTCACTTTATGTCACCATATGAAAACCAGGTATCCATATCATTCTTTGTACCTTGCATTTTGGGGTATGTTTTACAATTTATATATTTGTACAGTAGTTTAAGTATAAAACTTACCAATAAAAACATAGAAATGTGAGAGAAAGTTACTTGAAGTACTTTTTGAGGAGCTGTATGATATAAAACATTGGAATCTGTCTAGGATGTAGTCAGCTGGAAAGACTGTTACTCATATCCTAACAATAAGAAAAAGCCAGATAGTCTAAAAAACAGAACTTTTATTGAGCCCATTAGAGAGCTGAGTTATCAGGGCAACCAACTAACATGAAATCTAAGGGAAAAAAATCTAAGGAAAAATCTGAGGTATTTTCAAGGACAGATGGGATTCATGGACTAGCACATCTTTGGCAGAGCACTGAAGGCAGACATACCAGATACCATATAAGCAAGTGTGAAAAATTCAGGTTATTTCAGAGAACAAATTGATAAAGGCCAAGTATGGGCTGATGAAAGCACAGAAGTCCTGGAAGCTACAGACATAAGCAATACACACTCCCTTATAGGCTCCCCCCACCCCTGTGGACCTCACTAGTACTAGTTGCTTATGGGAAAGACTGTAGGCAGGGTGGGAGATGAAAGAATACAGTCCTCGGTGGTGCACGCAGGGAGGAGAGGAGCAGCTGCCATAGTTGGAAGAGCCTGACACCCCACCTTGTCCCATAGCTCCTACGGAACAAAAGTCTTAAACTGCTCAAAGAAGGATCTCAAAAATGGCTACCTCCACCACCCCAACCCTCCCCAGGACACAGGCAAATATCCACTCCCAAAAGGGAAGGAGAAAGGACAAACTCTCCATTCCTGGGAAAGGGACAGGAAATTGATATGGACCCAGAGAGCTCCTATCACTGGAGGAAAGGCAAGATCAATGATAAAACTTTACCCCTAAGGCCTAGAGAGATACAGGAACTGCCTTAGATTTGGGCTGAACTAGGACAACAGAGAATGCTTCCCTGCACCTCCCCCACCCTCCAACTAAGCTATCTGGGAGAGACAAAGAGTAACATTTTGGAGAGGGATTACAACATGACAGTGGTTTCGGAGGCACAGACACGAAGGGAAGGACTACAGTTGAAAGTGGAACAGGACAAACCTTCCAGCGCTGTACCCAAGGTGTTTCAGGCCTGTGGAGAAATGATGGTAACAATGGCAACAATAAAAAAATGCATAGCCAGCTAAACTGTTGATTTAATTGATTCAATACATCACATTAATTGTTAGCAGGAGAGGACGTATGTCTATTACCAGGCAAAAATACTAGTTACCAAAACCTCTACTGTCTACACCTATGACTGGAAATTAAAGAATTCTGAGACTACACTAAAACAAAACAATCAACTTTCAAGAGAAAGTAATTAACAGCAGAAGAATCAGTGATGATCTAGATGTCATAAATACGAGAGGAAATTGTAAATAACTGATTAGTATCGTAATTGAAAGGTGGATGACATGCATGAGTAGACTTGTAATTTCAGCAAAGAGATGGAAAATATGAATTAAAAGCTAGAAATAAAAATTACAGTAGAGAAATAAAAAATGCCTTCAATGGGTTTATCATTAGAGTTAACATAGCTGAGGAAAAAGTCAGTGAACTTGAAGACAGTTCAGTAGAAATTACCCAAACTGACAATAAAGAGGAAAAAAAGTAACAGGTGAAAAACAACAGGGTATTGAATTATGTGGAACACACACACACACACAGACATGCAGACACATACACTGCCTTATTCAAACTGCTGAAATACAAAAAGGAGATCTTGAAAGCAGCCAGAGAAAAATAGACACCTTACATAGAGGACCAAAGACAAGAATTTTGAACAATTTTCTTTCATAATCTATGCAAGTTAGAAGACAAGGAAGGTGTATCTGTAAAGGGCTGAAAGAAAAATACAGTAAATGCAGAGAGCTATATCCAACCAAAATAAAATATTTTTCAAAATGAAAGAGAATAAAGAGTTTTCAGGCAAATAAAAACAGAGTTTTTGATATCAGCATATCAGTTTTTCTGACCGAAGGAATATACTGCCAGGTAGAAACCTAAATCTACACAAAAAAATAAAGATCCCTGGACGTATTTAAAATGAAGATGAATATAAAAGATATATTTTTGTCTTATTCCCATTCATTCTAAAGATAACCGATTACCCAAATTAAAAAAAACAGTAGGAAGTCATTGTGAGTTTATAGTCTAAGTGAAACAAAATGTATTAGAGTAGCGCAGAACACAGGAAGGAGACAGTAAACATACACTAGTGTAAATTCTTACATTATACAGGATATAGCATAATACTGTTTGAATATTGTAAATACCTAGATGGGTAATAAAGCAAGAAAGGTAGAAGACATACAGAATGGAAACATAGAAATAAAAGTTTTTATTTACAGTCAACATTGTCTTCTTAGAAAATCTCAAATCTACAAAAATTTTACTGTGACTAACAAGTGACTTCAATAAAGTTGCAGGATGCAAGGTCAATAGATTGTACAAAAACCAACTGCATTTCTTTATATTTACAATAATGAACTTGGAGATTAAAAATTTTAAAGTGTCATTTACAATAGCACCAAAAAGTATGAAATATTTAGGAATAAATATAACAAAATGTGTGTAATATCTGTATGCTGAAACCTATAAACCATTGATGAAAGTAATCAAAGATGACCTAAATAAATGGGGAGATATACCATGTTAAGACTTGATGTTAAGGTAACTATTTTCCCAAGACTAAAATATAAATTTAACACAATCACACACAAAAAAATGGACAAGGTAATTCTTTAATCTGTATAGAAATGCAAAGGAATCAATATCCCAAAGATATATGGAAAATAACAAATTTGGAGGACCCATACCACCTGATCTCAAGACTAACTGTAAAACTGTGATAATCAAGATGGTGTAATATCGGCATACTTAAGCATAAAAATGGACCTTAAGTAATGTTTTGTACAAATACAGAAATTAATTCAAAATAGGTCAGATTCCAAAAACCTAAAATTCCTAAAATTATAAAAAATTTATACAAAAATATAGGAGGAAATTTTCATGACTTTGTGTTAGGCAATGATTTCTTAGATATGACATTAAAAGCATAATTCAAAAAAGAACAAATTGATAAATTGAACTTTATCAGCATTATACGTTCCTGTTCACTGAAAGATATTACGAGAATGAAGGGACAAGTAGAGGATGACAGGAAATATCTGCAAACAATTCTAATAAAGGACTTGTATCCAGAATATATAAAGAACTCTCAAGCCTCAATAATAATAAACCCCCCAAACACCCCAATGCAGTGAGCAAGAGATTTGAACATTTTTGCTGAAGAATACATGTGATGGCAAATAAACACTTGATAAGATACTCAATATCACTTGTCATAAGCGATACACAAATTAAAACCACAATGAGATACCATTATATAACCACTAGAATAGCTTAGCACAAACAAACAAACAAACAAATGAAAAGCAACTGACAATACCAAATACTGGCAAGGATGGATGCAGAACAACAAAACCTCTCTGACAGTGCTGTTGGGAATGCAAACTGGTATGATCACGTTGAAGAAGGCTTTGGCAGTATTTTACAGAGTCTAACATGTATTTATCTTCTGATCTAGTAATCCTGCTCCTAGGTATTTCCCCAAGAGAAATGAGATCTTATGTTTACACAGAACCCTGTATGCAAATGCTTATAGCGGTTTTATTTATAAATGCCAGAAACTGAAAACACCACCTAGTATTTTCTAACAGGGAAATGGTTAAAGACAATGTGGCACATCCAAAGAACAGAACACTTTTACACAGTAAAAAGGAACAATCTACTTATACAAAGAATGGCAGGGATGAATCTGAAATACATTATTCTAAATATGTCAAATTCAAAAGATTGCATCCTATGTGGTTCCATTTATATGACATCTGGAAAAGGTAAAACTATAGAGACAGAAATCAGATTAGCGGTTGGAGATATGAGACTAAGGATGACTACAAAGAGGCACAAGGGAATGTTGTATGTTGGCCAATTTAAGTTTTATTGTTGTTTGCAACTGTATGCGTTTCTAAAAACTCTTAAGAATCACTCACTAAAAATGAGGAATTTTACAGTATGTGAATTATACCTCAAAAACTTTTATTAAAATACACACCAATGCAGAAACTCTACATACACACATACCTGGAGGTGACTCTCACAATGGAGATCAAATCAGGAGACATCCATTAATAGTCATGGTATCACATTGGAGACTTATATACCATACTGAGAGTGGCCAAATTAACCCTCCCTGGCTGTCCCATTTGCTGATCACTCTTAGATTTCTATTTGAGACAATGGGACATTGCTATGGACTGACCCCATGGCCAAAATACTAGAAAGCCTTGGGTAGGAATCATACATCATAACATTCTCATCAGTGGAACACATCTGATAAAGCCTGGTCTTTATAGAAAAGCTACCTTTTCCATGTAAAAAAAAAAAAAAAAGAACAGCAACTCTGCCTACTGCATTATGAAAGCAAGTATGATTAATAGGAATCTGTAGGTATTCCTGCAATAACTAGTATCGGGGTTTTCAATTTCAATTGTTTAATGGGATATTTAGGTGTTCAATGCAGAAAATAACTGATAAACACTAAATATAAAAGAAATTTTACTTAATTACCTGGGATGAGAAAATGGTATTTTAAGATTATCTTGAAGTAATTTTTTTTTAAGATTGTGTGTGTGTGTGTGTGTGTGTGTGTGCATGCGTGCTTTTTTTTGGAGATATTCCACATTTCAATAATAGTTAAAGGCTCATAAACGACGGGCCCTGAATTTCAGCAAAGCCGACATATATAATATACAACAAATGATTTTCTTTTCAATAGTAAACTTTGTTAATACTGAACAACTTCATATCATGAGAGCAGGTCTTCCAAAGGGGCTATTTAGAAAGGGACTATAAAGTTAAACACACACAGAGTTTAAATATAACTAGCTGAAATGTAAGGTGAGTTAATAAAGCTTTTCAGTTTTCAATTAGTCTATTCATACTTTTATAAATATAATAAAAATAACATTTAAGTTTATCTTAAGTTCAAGAAGAGCGGAAAAAAAGGGTCAATTAACTTTCTTGGTAATATTCATAGATTAAAACCGAATGATCCATTAGTTCAGGTTCAGTTTGGACAATAGCTTGATTCTTCAAATTTCCTTTGGTTCAATAGTAGCAGGTTTTGTTAATTTCATACCATGACTTTAACACTTCAACTTCAGTTTGTGGATTGATTCCAAAACACCTACAACATATTCAGTTTCATTTTTGATTAGGTTTTCATAGTTTGCACTTGTTTGAGGCTCATTGTTTGATTCATCTCAAGCTGTCAGTTTTGCAGATTTTCTCAATTAAGCAATGCCTTCATTGAGTTTGAGGCTATAGACAAAGAGGTTTAACAAATGTTTACTGACCTATTGGAAATGACCTTACTATTTTGAGAACCTGTTATGTAGAAATGGCTTATCGGTAAGCCCTGAGACCTGTTACTCATAATTCAGAGGGAGTGAAGTCATTATCATAAGATCACAGAAACATTTCTAAAAGTCTAGATAAAAGAATGCTGATTTTTTTTTTTTTTTAAAAAGTCAGCAGCAGAGGCTTCCAAATGAGTTCACAAAAGAAAGGGAGAAAACTGCAAAGGATCGGAAGTGAGGAGTGGCTGCCTAAAGTAATCTAAAAGCCATCACAGTGAACACATGTGGATATCTATTCAGTATGGGAAATAAGCAGATCAAAATTAATTAGCACTCCGTGAACCTACCTGAGCAAGAGACTTATTGTCTGGCAGTGTTCCATGTTGGAAGTATTTGTCCAGCCCGTGATCCTTGGTGATATGCTCACACTCCTCAGAGAAGAGCACGGCATCCCCATCAAAAGCGACACGGAGCTGAGTGTCACAGTGAGACATGTCTTTGGCTCCCTCAAATATTGTTGCAGCGGCGATCCCTGGTAAACCATGGGGACTCATTAATACTCCTCTCAGGGCCATGATATTAAGTTTCTACCATTAAAAAATAATAATAAAAAGCCATCCCAGATCTTGCGTTTTCTCTAACTATTCCCTGATGATCTGCTCCCCTCCACAGCTGCCCACCTCAAAACTGTTGTCTACACACCACCCCCATTATAAGGGATGGGAAAGTGTAAAACTGGTTTTAAGATAATCGATGAGGATGTCCACTTCCAGAAAGGTCAAAGCTCTAAAGGACAAACTTAAGCGCTGCCATTCACAGAAACACCATAGAAAATCCAACAAGGGCATAAGCCGCAGAAACCTGAGAAGCCCAATGGAAGTAACCACTAGCGCAAAGCTCTCTATTAACTACTGGGATAAAACCAAACCGATACCTTCTTTTATTGCTTCTTGTACTTTTTCAGAATCTGCAGAAAGATACAAGTTGGTAAGATATGTCTTCAAATAGCCAATGGGGCTTTTTCCGCCAGTCAGACAGAAGCGGTCAATTAGTAAGCCTGTTATGGGGTCAAGAAAGAGTTTGTTATGTCGGAGATTAAATACAATACACTTACTGTAAATGCACATGAGAGTTCCCTTAAGAATAATTGAGTGCCTACTGAGGTTTTACAATTTCTTACCAATACTGGAAAGTGAAAATTACCTTCTTAGCACCAATGTTTTTATAATAGTAGATGTGTTTCATGCATAGTAATTTATGAAGTCCATCCACACTGACCTTGCCAATTTAGTCTCACAATGACAGTATGGCAGGCATTATTATTTCCATTACAGAAAAGGAAACTGAGACTTAAAGTCCTTTCTAAGTCTACTGGCTCAAGCTGGCTCTTGTCCTTCAACCACAGCCTCCTCACTTGTTGCAAGGGCCAGTTAAAGTGTGGCTCTATTTTAAGTGCCATTTCTGTATTTCTTCAGGAACAATGCACAGTAATAAAATGTTGTGCTAGAAATTGAACAGTTTTCTAAAAACAACAACAAAAGGTCTGTTATTGTCTCTATTTCCTGACTGGAAATTTTAAATGGACTTATTCACAGACTAAACACTAATACACTATCAATACCTTTCAGATCAACAATTTGAAAATAAAAAAAGCACTAGATGTTGGTGAGATGTTTGTAAAGTAAGCACGCAAACACACAATGCATGAAAGTATAAATCAGTACAAGCTATCTAAAAACTAATTTGACAAAATATATCAGGAGCTTTTAATAGGTTTATACACTTTGACCCAGGATTACCTTCTTTTGGGGTTTATTCTAAGGGAATAATCTGAAGCTCTGATAAAGACTGATGTAGAAATGTCTCAGTGTGGGATCATTCATAAAAGCAAAATATTCAATAATATGTGAATAATTAAATAAAGAGTAACATGATGCATATAAGATTTCTACCCATTGCAAGTGTTTTTCGATACGTCATAAACTGGATAGCTGCGTAGCATATAAAGCAGAATTTTGAGTCCATCACCTATATGGGCCAAGAGAACAGGCAGGATCCATCAACAGGTGAGGTACAAGTGTTTGTTGTGGTATTAACAAAACACTCTCACTTTTTCACTTAAGCCAACATGGAGCTGAAATGGCACAAAACTGTACTCCACAAATCTTTAATTATATTAATTTAATGATCAGAAATTATGCAGTGGTTCTGGGGCTTTAGAAATGACTAACACATTGCCCATCTTCTCAAAGAGGTAATAGTGCACTGAGGAGCTGAGTTTGTAAACAGATAATGACGATGTAACAAAGGCGGCAGCCGGGAGATAGACAAATTGCCTTCAACTTCCAGAGAAGGCAAGTGACTAACACTCTTCTTCCAAATGAAAGGTTGTTTGTTGTGCCATGAACAAGGCTGCATCACAGGATTGGTTAATTAGTTCAATCAGTTAATTAATAGATTTAATTGATAAATAACAATGATTTTTTTTTTTTTTATGCTACTACCTTTGATGGGCTCAGTGTGGTGAGGGATAGGTAGGCCTAATTGCCAACTAAATCAAATAATAGCTGCACTTTATTGAGGAACTGATCTACGCCAGCCATGTATGCTAAACCTTTTATATACATCTTTTCATGTCATAACACTGTAAGGCTGCATTTTTGAAAGGCAAACATGTTTTAAAGTATGTCACAGTAAGACATCAGCCTTATAGTTAGGATAATATTAAATTCATAGCATGTAATATATCTTGATTACTTACAAACATGCCCAACTTAAACCAAGAATTTAAATATGCCAAATTTAAACCTTATTTTGGCTTGACATACCCATAAGACTGTCACTTAGGAAAGTAGGCTAAAAGTCCCCAAATAAGAAGTAAGGTAATTCCAAAACAGGAAGAAGAGGGACTTTCTGTTAAAGTCTCCTACATGTTTGATGGAAATGCTGTGAAGAGACTAGAGTTCATCCAATTTTCCATGTAAAAGAATAAAGACAATTTTGCTGGCATGAGTCTGGATCTGATGTGTGGGAGAGCAGCCAGGGAGAAACAGATTTTAAGAGTGGAAAGGAGAGGTGAAAACCTTTAAACCTTTAACATGTATCTGTGGTGAGCAAGAAGTTTGATCACACGGGGAAAGCCCCTGGGTTGACGGCTCCTTGAAGTCAAGTTCAGAAGTGAAAAACATAAAACAGAAATATATTGCAGGACCTGGGATTAAGACTTTGAAATTCACACTTGACAAGTTAAGTCCAGAGCTTTGGGCCCAACTCTGTGCTGAAGTTAAAAATGAACATGGCCTCTCTTGTTCTGACATAGGCAAATAAACATTCCTCACGCAGAAGGGGGTGTCAGTATCAAAGACACTGCATTAGTTAGGCCACAGTTAGCAAAATAACATGGCTTCTCTCTCCCAGAGCAGCGCGCTGTTCTTCCACATGGTATTTATTTTACTTACCATAGTGATTGACGCTGTTTATAAGCCGCACTCCCACTTGGGCATGGTTATTAGTCATCAGTACAATATCAAATAAGTCCTGTTCATCAGGATACAGATCGCGGAGTCTAGCATTGACATGCTGCAGGGCCTGTAGGTCACAAACATAAGCGTGTGTACAGAGGGCCAGGCAAGGTGGGCGTTGGGGGTCTGGAGAGAAGGGATCTTGTCAGTGTCAAAGTCAAGCTTTGAAGACTCTTCACTGAGAGATTATAGCTCCTTTAAGGTGGGGTTATGTCATTCATTTCTGTATTGTATGCCTGTCACACACAGGGTTCCAGTTAATGGTTAGTGAATATATAGGTAATATTTGTTTGAGAATTGTTACAACATTTGGTCTACTAGAATTAGCACTATTGCGTAGGTAGAGAGAAGGATCAGGCTAGGCTTTTTATGCTTTGTCTATTTTTTTGTTTGTTTTGTAAAATCCACCTTTCTTGATCATCTGATTTCTTTTTTCAATTACAGTTGGTATTTGATATTATTTTATACAAGTTTCAGCTGTACAGCACAGTGGTCAATTATATAATTTTCAAAGTGATTTGCCAAATAATTTTAGTATTTCCCTGGCACCATACATACTTATTACAATATTATTGACTATATTCCCTATGCTGTACTTTACATACTTGTGTCTATTTTGCAACTACCAATTCGCACTTCCTAATTCCTTCCCCTTTCTCACCCAGCTCCCCAAATCCCTGTGGAAACCCTTGCTTTGTTTGCTGTATCTATGGGTCTCTTTCTTTTTGTTTTTTCATTTATTTTTGTTCTTTAGATTCCACATATAAGTAAAATCGTATAGAATTTGTCTTTCTCTGTCTGACTTATTTAACTTACCATAATACCCTTTACGTGCAACCACGTTGCTGCAGATGGTAAGATTTCATTCTTTTATATGGCCAAGTAATATTCTATTGTATATATGCACCGCATCTTTTATCTAATCATCTGTTGATGGGCACTTGAGTTTTTTTTTTATTGTGAAAAATATAGAATGTTTCATGAATTTGCATGGTAACCTTGCACAGGGCCATGCTGATGGTCTGTATTGTTCCAACTTTAGTGCACGTGTTGCCAAAGCAGCACTTCCTCTACTTTTAAGCAGGAGTCTTTAGAATAGGTGGATGGTTTCCTCCTGTGCTCCTCCCATGCCCCATAAGTACATTCTACTTACAACTTGGTGGGAGTGTCATTTGTTTCTGCCTGGTTATGATGCTATTGCGTAACATTTGTTTATGTTTTATAGAGGATCACAGTTATAAGTGCTATACATTTCTGTATAAATATAGAGAACCTTACTTTGTTAAAATTATGCCCGTAAGTGCCAATAACATTTTTTTTTAAAATATGCTGTGTTTCGGGCAAAAGCAGCAAAAGTGAATTTCATCTCATTTTAAGGAGGCACTTTATTTCTGCCAGTGCTCACAATTGTAAGCTCATCGCCTCTGGCTGCTGTACCCTCTGAAGAGGTTTCGGTGTTACTGGCCTCATGATTAGGGCTCCACTCATGAAAGCTCAGCTTCTCAAATCTAGGGCTGGGGTCCCTTCCCCAACGGTCTGGTCTGGAAGTCTCTGTGAAAGCATAATCTAACTTGGGGTCAACTCAGAGGACAAGAATGACAAAGGTGGATTAGGGATTATAAGGGAAGCGGGATGATATCCCGGGCATGACCCAGCGTCTAGGGATAAGGACTGCTTCGCCCAGTACCTTGACAAAGCGGAACGCGGGCCCAGGGGTCAGGATGACGTTCTCGTTGGTGAGCTGATACTCCATGTACTTTTCCAGGCCCTCTTCCTCATAGATTTTCCTGCCATCCATCATGTTGAAGAGAGCCTGGGATGACACGGCGATGGTGATGGCATGCTTGGGTTTTGGCTGCAGACAGAGGTACCAACGGGGGGCGGCGGGGGAGAGGGGGACAGTTACACAAACCAGCAGGGACCCGGAATGGGGCCGTTCCAGGGCAGGGTGGGGAGAAAACGGCTGGGCCCGTGCTTAGAGCACTGTGATGCTGGAGACGGCCAAGGCCTGGGACCCTCGCCACCCCTGCTCCCTGTGCCCCCACCTCCCCAGCCCCAGGCTGCAGAAGGGAGGTTTGGGACAAATTTCCCTACTGCATGGAGCGGAAGCTTGGTCCGTGGGGCTGAGCAGAGGGCCGCCCAGGCACCAGGGTCGGCGGGCCCTGCTCACCGGCCGGGGGCGTGAACAGCCGGGGTTCTTCTCATACAGTGTCCTCACGGATGACCAGTAGGCTTCCTCGTCGTCGTTCTCCTCCTCCCGCTGCTGCCGGGGCAGGTCGGAAATACAGTCGCGGTCCAGCTGGGAGGAGTAGGTGGTCCTGCGCTGGCCGTAGGACTTCCATTCGCTGGGAGGTGTGCGCGGGTATTCCCGCGACTCCCGCACGTCCCGCGACTCCCGCATGTCCCGCATGTCCCGCGACTCCCGCGTGTCCCGCGAGTCCCGGAACTCCCGCATGATGCCGTGCGCCCAGGCTTCATGGTTGTCCTGCATCTTGGTGCTGCGCCGGGAAGCGGACTGGGACTGGGGCAGGGACTGGGGCAGGGACTGGGGCTGGGAATGGGGCTGGGGCTCGGGGGGCGTGGGAGGACTGGAGTCCAGAGGCTCTGGGGGTGTGTGCAGCACGGGCGGTGTGGGTGGGGACACCTGCGTGGACAGCTCCTGCGCGGACTCTTGCTGGCTCTGGGAGGTGGATGACGTCTGGGAGGTTGTGGAGCTTGTGGGGACCTGGAGCAAGAAGATGGGCGTCTGAGTTACAGGCCTGCCTGGCATCCCTGTCCCCATCTACAACTGCAGTCTAAGAGAAGAACCTGTCCCCTTTCTCCTGTTCCATTCTTAGCCCTTAATTAGATCCCGGTTCATCTCAGCTCTTTTAAGTGGGTCTTAAAGAGGCGTAGACATTCCAAGGCTCCAGGTATCAGATATTTCTGTTAAGTGGACACAGACACAGCCTGCTTCATTTCCCTGGCACCATACATACTTATTACAATATTATTGACTATATTCCCTATGCTGTACTTTACATACCTGTGTCTATTTTGCAACTACCAGTTCGCACTTCCTAATTCCTTCCCCTTGTTCCCCCATCATCATCTTCCTTTTTTTTTTTTTTTTTTGCGTAGCTAGGTCACAGGCCCTTTTTCTTGCCCTTAGATGGAAGGCACACAGTTTGCCAAGTTCTCTCATGTGACTTCTGTATGTATACCTGCCCAGTTAGAGGCCCCCAGATGGGCTTGAGTAAGGGACCTTGCTTGCCATGCCTCCATCTGTGACTTCCACCTGAGCAACTAGACCAGATGTTCCTACCAGAAGACTCTGCACAGCACTTTGGAGACATCTGTCTCCACATTTGCCCTGTGATTAAGGCAGTGACCATAGGAAGGTCGCGAGGCTGGAGAGACTAGTGTCGCGTCTTCACCTCAGGATTTTGTGTGTCTGAGGAGCTCACCTGGAGGGAATAATCTTCCTAAACAGGAAGAAGCCATTCCTGAGATAGGACTCCTTGACTAAGATGTGTAATAAATTATTAAGCATCCATGTTGTTATTTCCATTTTTATAACAGTTTCATTTGTTCTGAAAGGCATTTTCTTGGTTAGATTATTGAGCCAGTCCTCACAGAGACAGATGGATTGGTGAGAATACATGTTTTCCCAGTGGCTGGATGTGTGTCACTCTCTCTGCAACCAACAACTTAATCTCCAAACCAACTTTTTCTTCTCTTGTGGCCAGGCTTAGTGTAATACTCTACACTAAGGTCCAATTTTCTACACCACCCCCTTCTTAGTCTGGAATACTCAATAATTATTGAATGAATGAAGAAATGAATGTGCAACCATGGAGCTCAATCATGAAGTGTATATATGGCTTATAGAGGTAGTGACCTTGGGTTATAAACCAGCTCTATTAGTGTAATTGATGTGAAATCTTAGGTAAGTTATTCTGTGTTTTTTTGAGCTGTAAAATAGGGCTCACAAAGGGTGTCTTGTAAGGGTTCAATTAGCTAGAACATGTAAAATAGGTAGAAAGGGCTGGCAGGTAGAAAGCATCAATAAATGTTAACCATCATCATCGTCATCAGTATTATTCTTGCTATTACTATTATTATTACTGTTATTATGCTATCATATCCTCCATCCTTTCAACTCCCTCTCTACCTTAAGACTGGCACTCTTGCTTCTGGGCTCGTCTGCTGATGGGGCTCTGGTAGATGGACTCCGTGAAGTTCCGGACCACTGGTTTCGCACAAGGTACCCTCGAGAATCTGTCTTTGGCAGTGCTAATTCCTGTGATCCCTTTTGAGGAGAGAAGAGACCCAGGGGTATAATACCCCACCACCCACTCTTCCCATCCATGTGCCTACAGAATAGCCATGTCAGAATAACATAGCAGCACACATTGAGGAGATCCCTGGCCAATATGACCCTTAGTTCAATCTTGGTCCTTCTGTACTAGCTCTGGCCCAATCCTCACTTCTCTGAGAAGCAACAAAGAGAGGATCCACCTGGAAGGGCATCCAAAATCAAGAAACAAATCTGCTATCTCATATATTTTACCTGTCACTCTTATATGATACTTAATGGAGTTGACCATTTTTTCTCCCTTTCCCCACTTCTTCCCTTAAGGATAAGCCAGTTAACAGACACTAAAAAGACATATCCACCATTTTTTTTCCAGAATACAAACATGAGGGTAGCTGGTGCCTAACCAAGGCTGCAACAGGATCAAAGGTAGCTACGTAAGAGGGACTAAAGCCTCCTGGGAGGAATAACACTGAAGGAGACCATGGAGAGGCGAGTGGAAGAGTTTCTATGCCCCATGTCCTTCCCCTCACCCAGACTGACTATGGCTCCCCTACAAAATCAGTAGTGTGATCTCTGCTCACCCTGATCATGGTGATCTGCTGGCCCTGTTCCCATAACAGGCACATGTGAATATAAATACGTATTGTGCGGCAGGGGCCAAGAAGGACTGTTCCCTCAGCTGCACTAAGGCAGTGTCTACACGCCAGGTGACCACGCATGGGGCAACATCTCAGCCAGTGACTCGGATTGACTGCATGCCTCATCTGAAAGATTGTGCAGAAAATGGTCAATGCCACGGCCAGACTCCCCTTCCCTCCCTGATTTGAACAAATACCAGACTCCTCCCATAGGCCGAGCAGAGGAGGCCGCTATGGTTTCTACACCCTATTTTCTCTGTGAACATGGAAATGTGTACTGCAGGGAAGGCAGGGACCAGCTTCTCCTAGCTTTTCCTTAACCTCTCCATGCGGGACATTAAGTATCCCTTAATACAAACCACAGTAGCTCCGTCTCCCAGAACTCCCTGCCCCCTAATATTTTCTATTATGCTTTTTAATTCTCTCACCAACAATAAAGAGGTCAGCTCACCTGAGTTCTCAGACGAACTCCTGATTTGTCAGACTCGCGTCTTTTCTCTGACTCTAGACTCTCTCTTGAGTATTTTGTTCCAGACTCATTCTTAATATGAAAACAAAGAATGTTTATTAATTTTAATCTCAGGGACATCAGAAAACTGGGACTTGGGAATAAGAGGATAAGTTAAAATTAGCATTTGTCTCTTTGCCAATATCAAAAAATATATAAAGTGACATTATTTTTTGCCCTGTTCTACTAAGCATGAGTGAAAATAACACATCAAAGAACTATATAAATTATTTTAAGGTAGAAATTTGGTACTTTATAGGTTCAAGGAATAAGGCATTTATCATTTAAAAAATTGCAATTAAGGGATATGTTGTAGGAGAATTTTTCACGAATCAGCAATACTTGGATTTAAATGTGAGGTTGCTCACATAGAATACGTTTTTTTTTCCCCATTACTCTTAAGATTGCCACTCATGGAACTTTCACTTTTACCATATAGAATTGAAACTTCTCTTATTTTCTTAATAAACCATAGGTCCAGTTTTCTGAGGACCTAAGCCTCACCGATATTAGCCTGATTTTTAAAATCAAAGAACTTAATCCTGTACAGATCCTGTATGGATCTGTTGGAAGGTATGCCTTCTGCTCATATTATCTAATTACTCATAACATACTGATAGGGAGACCATGTAGGAGAGCACAAGAAGATAACTCGCTTCATGGACACTTATTCAAATTATTGTTTTCATTTTCAATTGAGATTAATACTACTGTGTTGGATCACAATTTGTATTGTTTTATGCTAAGTTGGTAGTTGTAATGTGATCAATATTAGAGTTATTTATCTGTTGAAGGAGCTCCACTTCTAGCTTAGACCTCAGTGCTCAGGGGCAGTCTATTTATTTCTTTATTCTCTGTGCCTTAGACTCAGGAAAAATCTGACCAATGGTAGCTGAATGACTGAGTCTGTGACAGCAGAGAATGGCATATTTGTGTGATACTAGAATTAATTCTACGATTTTTCATCAACCCTGTTGGGATGTCCCATAGAGGGGTATTTTGAACCCAACCCCCCTTCTCCGTGCCTGTTATCATTATCTCATTCCGGGCCTCAGATTATCATGGGTGTATATCCTTAGAACGTAGTCTTTTGATCAGGTTTCATGGCCTCAAATCTTCCCAACTTCTAGACCCATCCACCCCATTTATTTAAGGTGATATTATAAAACATGAATCTAATTAAATGCTTCCTTTCTGGATACACTCTTTATTCACATGGATAGGCACACTGAAAGTCTTCTGATGTATCTTGTCTACCGCCAACTTGCATGTCCTCCACTCTACACTTTATCTCTATATTCTTCTTTGCCAGATGACTTGTTTTTGCCTATATACCACCTTATTTACTTGAAACCCTCTCTCCCATTTAATATACTTCAATCTAGCTCAGTGTGACCTGGGAGGAGTTCGCAGAGTTAAGCATCCCTCTGTGTTGGCTGTGTCTTTCGTACATGCTTTTACTTAGCACTGCATTGTATTTGGTATTTTCTTTCTTACTAGGCTGTGCATTCTTTGGAGGAAGCAACTGTTTTCACCTCTTACAACTAACATATGAGCATGTACTTAATAAATGCTGACTTATTGGATTGACTTATACTATATGCTTTAATCTCCTTCTCCATTTTCTCCATTTCCTTTACCCCCCCCTCCATTTTCTGTACACTTAGTCATTATCTGAAATGATCGGACTATTTCAGAGAAGTACCAGACGTAAATGATGGACTGAGAGACGCTTTCACTTGGCTCTTTGGCAAGATTCTAGGATGTTTAATTCACTCACCTTCTTTTTCTGTTTCAGAGATGTTTGACTCATTTCTTTATCTGTTGAAATTCGTTGGCTGTTACGCAGGTGTTCATCTCCCCAGCTCCATTTCCTGTTGCTTCTGTTGCTCAGTCTGGTCTCGAGTGTAGAATGTCAAATTTATGACATCACATGCGATTCCATAGTAACAGACTGACTCTGAATACGTGACTATAAAAAGAGCAAAATTCTTTACTCATATTTGAGTATATTTGGTTCTTTAGAAAATGATGTCTAAACAATGTTTAAATATTTAATAGGTAACAATCTTACTATTACTGCTCCCTTATTTTTAAATCTCCTTTTTAGCATCAATCCCATTTGTAGCTGTATATTTTCTGGTTGCTGCCAAAATTGATGGCAAACTCATTTGTGGACCCAATCATTTATTAACATTCATCCTGACAGATTTTCAGGAACTTTCCGAAAATCTGGAGGCTATTTTTGACAACTGAGAGTTTTTCTAAATATGGAGTGTAGCCTTGAGTTTAGCTTTAGTATCGTATTTTTTTCACAGCAAGACCATTTCTAATTCACAAGGTCAAAGCGATTCCCTGAGGCTAGACACAGTGTGGTAGGTGGAATGCACTGTCTTTCCTGCTGTTTGTGCCATCCTTAAACATTTACACACACGTGTCCCTCTTGTGTACACACAGAGAAGAGTATGTCAAATCCCGCCCCCAACTTGGAGTTATAGGCTCCGATGATGTTCTGCATTTTACAGTTGTGATTTTATCTTCACTCAAGTTCCATGCAAACCTGAGTTGGTCAAATCATTGTGGACTGAGTCAGATTTCTGGTCTCTGTGGAGGTTGCCACCTTAGTCTGAGTATCAGGAGAGGTTTGGGGCAATTTTCATCCAAGTCTTCTGAGGGGTCTTCTAGGTAGTAAAACCTGCAGCAGGTCATAGGTTAGACCTCCTGGGTTTCAGTCCATTCACTCCCCGTATCTCAGTGTGATCCTCAGCAGGCCAGTTAATTTTTCTAAGTCTCAATGTTCTCATTTATAAGATGAAGATAATAATGATATCAACATCAAATGAAAGTTGTGATGGTTGAAATAATATGACATACTTAAGACAGTGACTAGCATTCATAAGTTATTAATCAGTGTTAGCTATTACTTTTATTCATGATTTTGCTACAGCTGTCTTACAGAATTCAAATAGAAACATCTTTAACTAATTTAATCCACACTACAATTTAGGAACAGAACTTTAAAATTACTTAAAGTTCATATACTTCTATAACCAATCAAATGTCAGTTTGGTGATTCTTCCCATAGTATTCGTGACAGAGAAAGAAGGCAGGCATTAAACTAGCAGTTGGGAACAAGAGCTGGAGAGCCCTGAGACTTGAGTTCTACAAAACAGAACAGGAACCCTTTAAAAAAAAATTTTTTTTTAATTGTTCAAATACATTTGTCTCCATTTTCCTGCCACCACTTTCCCCTGCCCCACCTACCCCCACCTCCCACCCTCAATCCTTCCCCGCTTTGGCTTTGGCCATGGATCCTTTATACATGTTCCTTGATTTGACCCTTCCCTTTCTTTTCCCCATTACCCGCCTCCCTCCTTCCCTCTTGTTACTGTTTCTTTTTCCTTTCAATGTTGCTGGTTATATTTTCCTTGCTTATTTGTTTTGTTGATTAGATTCCACTTATAAGTGAGATCATATGGTATTTGTGTTCCACCCCCTGGATCACTTCACTTAGCATAATGCTCTCCAGTTCCATCCATGCTATTGTGAAGGGTAGTAGCTCGCTCGCTCTTTCTGCTACGTAGTATCCCATTGTGTAGATGTCCTATAGTTTTTTGAGCCAGTCATTTACTGATGGGCACTTAGGTTGCTTCCAGAACTTGGCTTTTGTAAATTGTGCTGCTATGAACATTGGGGTGCATAGGTTCTTTTGAACTGATGTTTTGGGATTCTTAGGGTATAATCCCAGCAGTGGAATCGCTGGGTCAAAAGGCAGTTCATTTTTAGCTTTCTGAGGAATTCCAAACTGTTTTCCACAATGGCTGCACCAGTCTGCTTTCCCACCTACAGTGCTCTAGGGCTCCCTTTTCTGCACAACCTCGCTAGCACTTGTTGTTTGTTGTTTTATTTATGATGGCCATTCTAACAGGTATGCAGTGGCATCTCATTGTGGTTTTAACTTGCATTTCCCTGATGGCTAGGGATGATGAGTATCCTTTCATGTCTCTGGGTCCCAGAGGGAACACTTTACAGAGAGTATTCTCCATCCATTTTTCACAGAAATTTTTGAATCTTGCCATGGTTGCTGAAAGGAATATACCCATTCCCCTGGCAGTGCTAGGAGGACATTGCAAAGTGATTTACGGGACACAGTTCTTACCCGGCTGTTTTCCTGCTATTTACTTTTTAGGGGAAGGTGCAATACTATTCAAAATTTCTGGGGGCCCTAAAGGGAAGTTTACTCAAAGAGGAGAGTATGCCGTTCAGAACTCACCAGTGAAGAATAGATGTTTTGGAAGTTCATATTTCTTGAGTCCATGCATTTTGATTATCTACATGACTCAGAGGTTATGTGGATTCAGAGGGCCAGAGAGCTCTCTTCCTGTGTGGGACTCTGTGGTGAAATGGGTCTGATGGATTAGGAAAGAAAGAAAAGTAGAACACTTGTACTTTAGAAAATAATTTGTAAAAAATTTCCTTGGGCAAGAATTAAAGGTAATAATGGTCCATAGAACATAAGGCCTTGAAAAATAAAAGTGACACTTAATTTCAGTGTAGATTAGTGCTCTGAGCTTTAGTCCTCTTATCTGTAAAACAAAAATCAAATGCATTATACGTCTCAAAATTTTGTTGTAAAACTTGGATAAAATCATGCAAGTAAAAGCACATGGCGCAGTTGACCGTCAGTTCTTAACATATGCCCCCAAGACAATTTTCATTTTAGAAAATCTGCATATTGAACAGGGGGAGAAGGTTAGTTGTAGGATTGCCAAAGGGCTTGAAAGTCGGGCAGGCTAATGAGAAAGCGGGGACCACTGTTTCATAAAGGCTAGGTAGTTTGGTGCCTGCGTGAAGTTGGGGTCTTCCTCTTTTTAAGAAAATCATGAGGAGTTTTTTCCACTTTTCATTCAGCCTAGCCAAAATGGTCCATGTTCACCTTTTTCCCCCTCCATCCTGCCTTCAACACTCACTTTCCTAAGTAAAGTTAACAAATGATCCCATTTCTGCCCTTAGTAACAGCCATTAGCAAGAATGTTCAACACTCACCAGCATTAACCAAACCCTAATTAGCCAAATACTGCCTGCCGCCCCTTTACAATGCACACCTTTCTTTCCCCGTGCCTGCCATGGCTCTCCTAAAAGAAACATTTGTAGAACTCCCCTCCTTAGCCCACTCTCCCTCACATCATTAATCAGCTGGCTACGCCTCATCCGAAGGGGGAAAAAAATGATCCCGTTTCCTGTTGCATGCCGGCCAGATGAACAAGTGTTAAGTAGAACTTAAATGTGTGCCCTCCTCATGTTCATGGCACATCCATTGCTGCACCTGGAACTATGGACTTGTCCTGGATTTCACAGAGGCTGTCTCTAAGCTGCCCAGTCCTGTGTGGCATCCTCCTGACTCGATGCAAGCCTTGAGCAGAGCAAAGCAGGGCAGTCCCTCCTGGCCTGGAACCTTCAGCTTACTGTTTATCAGCTTGCTCAGAGAACCCATGATCTGAGGGACCAAGGGGACAAAGAGATTTTCTCTATTAGGTAGCCTTAAAACACACACACACACACACACACACACACACACACAGGGCTGAGGTTGCCACTGCCCTGCATTGTCACCAAGTTGTTTCCGGCGTGGAGGTGGCAGGCACCAGGAGTGCCCAGGCAGCGTGCCCATGTCCTTGCAATGGGCCACGTGCTGCTGAGAAACCGCTCTGTGGCCCGCAGACTTGGCTTTGAAGGCGAGTGCCGCCACTGCCTAGGGGTCTCTGTAAGTCGCTTCACCTCACAGCCCGTTTCCCGATTTGTGAAATAGGAATGACAACAATACTGACCTCGAAGGAAACAAGGAATGTGGAGGCTGGAGCAAAAGGCCTGGCACAGAACAGGCACTCAGGAACCTTCCTCTTCCCAGATCCCCTGCCTCCTGGTTCACCTGCATAAACAAATTCAAGGGACTTCGCGGGGGATTTTATCTGGACCGCGTGACCACCTAGGGAGGGCCTTGCCCTGAACTTCAGTGCCCCAAGAACAGGAGACTGGGAGTCTTGTCTCTTTGTTTTCTTTCGGCCTGTTTTTTATTTGGGGTCTGTGTGATTTCCTGGCAACAGCTCCATGGTGGTGAGAAAATATGTGTGTTTGCTATGTGAGGAGCGAGCAGCTTGTTTCTGGAGGCGCCCCTCCGCCAGGGTTGTTCCAAAATGTAGGTCAGCATTGCATGTTCCTCCATGCAGCACAGCTCCAAGTAGAGTCCCAAGTCTGGTCCAGCTTGGAGTCTGTATTTTTGGTGATGCGTGTGAACAAAATTGGCTTTTATGACATTTTTCAGGTTTTTGGAGTTTGGTTTCAAGACTGATCGACTTTCTTTTCTGGTTAGTCCCCTTGGCTGCCACTTCCTCGTCTCCAGTGAAATAAAGCTTCCTTCCACTCCTGCGTGCCTCCCCCGTGAGCAGCACCCCTGTTTCCTGGCAGCTCAGGTTAATTCCTGGATTTTTCCCAGGCTGCTGCATCTTTCTCCCTGTCACACCGTCATCCGCATCTTTTGCTTGAGTTTCTTAATATCCTTCAAAACTGGCCATGTCCTCCCATTGTCCCTGCTTTTAAAAAAAAATAGCCTCAACGGGGATATGTGGGCATTTTGCCCAGCACTAAGTTTCTTTTTAACTCTGCAGACAAGAGAGTTCAGACACTGCCAAGCTGGTGGCTACTCTTACCAGAACTGGATGCCCCGTGGTGCTCCTAGAGCACCTGGCACATCCTGCTATTGTCCAGCACATGACATGACCCTTTGTCAGGTGTACGTCTGTCTCTCCTCTAGCA